CCCCATGAGGGGAAAAAATCAAGTATGGTGGATCACACCTTAAAGCAGACAACTCACTGACTCGACGAGCAGAAGTAATGGCCACCAGAAACGCAGTCTTGAGCGATAACAACTTTAGAGAGCAAGTGGCCAGTGGTTCGAAGGGTTTTCCCATCAAAAACCGCAAAACTAAAGCCAAATCCCAGGCCGGAGTCGGAGAACGACGGGGAGGGTACAGGCGAATAAGACCTTTACAAAACTGTTTCGTCTGAGGATGCGAGAAAACTGAAAACCCATCAATAGATGGATGAAAAGCTGACACCGCAGCTAAATACACCTTAACTGAAGAAAAACTGAGTCCCAAGTCCATTCTGGACAAAATAAACGCAAAAATAGACCTCAAATCCACTGGCGGAGGAGGTAAATTGGAAGAACTCAAGTACTGTAGGAATAAATCCCACTTCTTTGCGTAAGACGTCCTAGTAGACAGTTTACGACAATTCAACAGGACCTCATTGATACGGTCATCCATCACTGAAAGCGTATTTCCCATAGAGTCAACTTGAGACTCAGAGGATCGTAGTGAAGGACCTGGCCTTCCTGAGCTTGGAGGAGATCCAACTCCTGCGGGAAGTGTACGAAGGATCCCTTGGCTAACCGCAGCAGTGTCGGAAACCACACCTGCCGAGGCCACCAGGGGGCTACCAGGAGACAATGGGGCTTGTCCTGTTGTATTTTCACAAGCACCCTGTGGAGCAGCGGAATCGGAGGAAATAGGTATAGAAAGTCGTGAGCCCACGACATCAACAGACCGTCCCCCATTGACAGAGGGTCCAACCCCGCTCTGGAGCAAAACCTGGGACACTTCTTGTTCAATCGAGTTGCAAAAACATCGATGTGGGGATGTCCCAGATGTTGAAAAAGAGGAAGGAGATACTTTGAGTTCAACTCCCATTCGTGGTCCGATGCTCCCCCTCTGCTCAGGAAATCCGCTTGTTGGTTCAAAGTTCCTGGCAGATGGGCAGCTTGGAGAGTGATGTTCCAATGAAGGCACTCTTCCCATATGTCCATAGCTAGCCTGCAAAGGGACCTGGACACGGTCCCGCCCTGGCGATTGATATAAGCCATCGCAGTTGTGTTGTCCGTAAAAATCAACACAGCTTTTCCTACAACCTGTCTGAGTAAGGATCTGAGGGCAAATTTTACGGCCAGCAGTTCCAGATAGTTGATATGATGACTCTTCCAAAGGGGTTGCCATGGAGCACCCACACAAGTGTCGTCTGTATGAGCACCCCAACCCCACAGGGAGGCATCTGTGGTGATGGACATTACGGGAACGATCGGTTGGAACGGTGCACCCGCCAACAGATTGGTGTCCACGAGCCACCACTGCAGGGAGACGAGGACCTGCGGAGGCACTACCAGTTGAAGGCTCGGAGGATGGATGGAAGGGCGAAATTTCTTTAGAAACCACAGCTGCAACGGGCGCATGCGAAGGCGTGCATATTCGATCACGGAAGTGGTGGCTGCCATGAGACCCAAGATCCGCTGAATGTGGACCGCTGATGTCACGTTGGACTGGAACAAACGTTGAATTTCCAGACGAATGGTATCTGCCCGTTGGCGAGGAAGGTACGCCCGAGTGGCTAGGGAGTCTATGACAGCTCCTATGAACTGCACGCGAGTTGCAGGTTGCAGCATGGATTTCTGTAAATTCACCAGAATTCCAAGGGAGGATAGGACCGACAATGTGATGGTGATGTGCTGAAGGAGACATTCTCTTGAATCTGCCACCATCAACCAGTCGTCTATATACGGAAAGATCTGAATGCCCTGAAGGCGAAGATGAGCGACGACAACCACCATTACCTTCGTAAAAACCCTGGGGGCGGTAGAGAGCCCGAATGGAAGGGCTTTGAATTGGTAATGGTCCTCCCCGACTGCGAATCTGAGGAACTTTCTGTGACGAGGATGGATGGAGACGTGAAAATAAGCGTCTTTGAGATCTAAAGTGACCATCCAAGTCCCTGGAGACAGGAGTGGTAAAATGCTTTGCAACGTGGTCATGCGAAACTTTCTGTAAATGATGAACCGATTGAGAAAACGAAGGTCCATGATTGGACGAAGTCCTCCGTCCTTCTTGGGGACCGTGAAATATTTGGAATAAATCCCGCGGCAACAATCCGCCATCGGGACTTTCTCTATAGCGTTTTTTTGTGTCAGCGATTGTACCTCCTGTAGCAGGGCAGGAGACGCCGGGGTTCTGATAAAACGGGAGATTTTGGGAGTCAGAGAAAACTCTATGAGATAGCCATCTCTTATTATAGAGTGCACCCATTTGTCCGTAGAAATGGCGAGCCATGCGTGCAGGAAGGGTGCAAGGCGAGTCTGAGCAGTAAGGTTGAAGTCAAAGTCCCTGTTTGGGATTCTTAGGGAATTTCGACTTATAGGCACCGGACGATTGTCCCTTATTTTTCGGGGGAAAAGACCGTGACTGAGAGGGAGGTCTTTGCCATTGATCCGTAGGTGATTTGTTGTACGGTTGCCTGGTCGACCAAGGTTGCCTAGGCCACTGCTTGGATTTCGAGTATTTGGTCGTGGGGGAGATCCCCAAACTCTTGGACGTCTTGATACTCTTATCCATTTCCTGCAGAACCGTGTCAGTGGTGGAGCTAAACAATCCAGAACCTTCAAAGGGAAGGTCTTCCACCGAGGATCTGGTGTCATATGGCAATGATGAAGAGCGGAGCCAGGCATGTCTGCGTAACGCTACAGAGGTTGCTAGAGTCTTACTAGCGGATTCCAGGGAATGCTTGGCAGCACTAATTTGGTGTCTAGCCAAGACCATCCCTTCATTCTGAATCCTTTTAATCTGAGGTTGGCACTCTTTGGGCACGTGCGGGAGGAAATCATTCAAACGCTTCCATAAATTGAATTGATAACGGCCCATGCAGGCGGCATAGTTCGCCGTTTTAATGCCCATTGCACCGACAGTGTAGAATTTTCTACCAACCGAATCCAACTTTTTTCCTTCTTTGTCTGATGGAGTAGAGTGGCTCGCTTTTCCTTTCGTGGACGAGGAAACGACCAAAGAATTGGGCTTAGGATGTGTGTATAAAAACTCAGCCCCTGATTCCTGGACCTTGTACATGTGATCCAGACGCTTATTAGAGACATTAATGGAGGCTGGACGAGTCCAAAAGTCCTTGGTAGTTTGCAAGAGAACTTTTGTCATTGGTAGAGCCACGGAGGGCGAAGTGTTAGAGTGCATAATGTCAACAAAGGCTGATGAAATAGACCTAACGCGTTTTGGCCTTCACAGGCCTTCCTCAGAGGTGTTGTTGCCCTAACTCACTTCCCTGAGATATCTTTTGAGCAACACTGCTCTTAACTGAAGGAATATTTCATTGGGAACATTTGGCTATACAATCTCAGGAGAATATATAGTTGACCAGAGAGAAGTACCACTGGACATGTGATTGCACTGGAGGCTTCATTTGTATTTTTGCCCAGTGGCTAAACTTTGGAACAATTGTGTTCTGGTCTTTATTTCATATTTTGTATATGTATGATTGTATGTATTTTCACAAATTAGCCAATATGTTCTATTTGCATTAGACCTCTGAGGAAGGCCCGTGAAGGCCGAAACGCGTTAGGTCTATTTCATCAGCCTTTGTATTTTTATATTTGTATATGAGGTATGAATGGGCCCTTATTTGTGATTTTAATTTGTGTTGAAAAATACATGCATATTTTTGTATGTTTCAGAATTAGATTTTTAGAGTTGGCTCTCTTCTATTCAGGTTCTGAATTCTAGGTTTTAGGTTCAGTTTTTTTCCCCTTTTCCCCTTTTTCCCCACACTGGTGGACCCAGCATGAATTCCGTTTCAAGAACAGAAAAAGAAGAACAGGAGACTGGATTTACACCCTGCCCCTAACTCGGGAGTCTCAGAGTGGCTTACACACTCCTTTCCCCCCACCCAATAGACACCCTGTGAGGTAGGTGGGGCTGAGAGAGAGCTCTTTCGAAGCACGGATGGTTTGGTTTAGGTGCAGGAGGCAAGCTAGAAAGACCCCTTTCTAGGTGAGGGACAAGCCCTCCCCACCCTGGGCTACTTCCAGCACAACATCGGCAGAACGAATGACAAGTGACGTCCCTGTCCCGTCAAAGGGTGGCAACGCTCGGCCCTTTCGGACAGCTGCCGGGGAGGCTTCCCTTGTGACCCGTCAAGCGTTTGGACAGCCAGTCCTCCGACCTTCCTTACTGCTCAAGCTCGTTTGGCATAAAGATTTGGCTTATCTAGCGGACTCTTGCTCCTTCCTTTCCCTCCCGCTCTGCTTATCAGGGACAGCAACAAGGGTCCGCGTGGTGGATTATTCCAATTAGCCAGTCAAGCACAGAAGGGATGGAGATTAGCGGCTGCCCAGGGACTCTCCCAAGCTTCAAGGGGCACATAGAAAGGGCTCTCGTCTCTCTGAGGACAAGAAGAGTTGTCAACCTCTCCCCTATCTTGTAGATCCCGTTCTCGGAAGGGAATGGGCTGCGTCACCCTGCAGCACCCGCATTCCCCCCACTAAAACGGGGGCCTCTCTCTTCCATCATGTTGTGTTGCTGCTCCAAAAAGGAAGTATTCCTATCCCACAGGAGATTCTCCTTTGTCCATTCTTTACGAGAGGCTCACGCGCGTCAAAACGAACCGACAATCAGCGAGGCTTAAGAGGAATATTATTTGCACACGCACGCAAAAGCCGCAGCTGACCTAATTTCCTCGCCACAAGAACAACGTGTCTGCATTCGCGCCGCCAGGGCTGCTTCCGGGTTAGGGGGAGCCCTCGGCAACTTGCCCAGGTGTAGCCGTGATGGGGTGCCGTGAGGTGGAGGCACGCAAATGGCGGCTGCGGCTGGCCTTGGTTTTTTGTTTCACTCACTCGCCCGGGCAAACGAGCCACTCCTACTGCGAGGACTGGCACCCGCTGCTCACTCGCCTGGTCTCTCCCTCTGCTGGCGGCAGCAGCTGATTCTAACAGCCCTCGTTCAGGCAGGTAAGAGGGGTAAGCGAGAAGCATTTGGTAACATCATTGGTCCTCTGAGAGGGGAGGACGAGGAAGAAAATTCAGACGGGGTTTTAAAAAAACCACTCTGAGGAATAGGCTTGAGTGACCAAGGGATGGACTGGCTGTTCAAATCACTGAGGAGCAAGCCCTAGAAGGACCACTCAGCTCGGACACAGGGGGCGATGATAATAAGGGGCTACGGGCTTATCCGTTCACTCCTCCAATACTGATGTTGTCCAGGCTTGAGCTGAGCAGTCCATAGGTTTGCCACCACTGCCCTAGAAGGACCGCTCAGCTGGGACACAGGGGGCGATGATAACAAGGGGCTACGGGCTTATCCATTCACTCCTCCCATGCTGATGTTGTCCAGGCTTGAGCTGAGCAGCCCGGAGACACAGTGGACGCCGCTCGGGCTCAGCTCGGCTTATTGCCAACCAGTGATGGCCCTCCAGGAAGTTTCCCGGTAAGTTAGAGTCGCTCTTGCACATCCGTGCAAAGGCAGCAGGTTAACAGTACGCCGCAAACGTGGATCATCACGAGCTTCACACTCACAGCTCCGCACGGAGTCCGGCAGGCCCTCCTTGCCCATGGCCTCGGCCTCCAACTGCGACTCCTTCATCTGGGAGAAAAGGAGGGAACGGTCATTGCTTGGTCACCTTCCATTCCGATCCTTAACTGGACGCACCCGCTCTCGGTCACACGGGGATCCTGACTGGTATGCCTAACACCCTAAGATATCTCAGATAATGGGTTTTTTGGCCACTATCCCGTTATTTTCTCGGCCCCCCAGCCTGTGTGTTCCCTTCTAAGCTGAGTTAGTGTGAGCTGGCTCACAGTTTTTTAGCCTCCGGCTCACACATTTTTGCCTTAGCTCAGGACAGACGGCTCCAGAGCAGGCTAATTTATGCAGCAGCCAAATCGCTCGCTCACAACTTTAATGCCAGCAGCTCACAAAGTAGAATTTTTACTCACAGGGCTCCATAGCTTAGAGGGAACATTGCCCCCAGCTATACCCAAGCATCATTTCCCTGGGCCTTGTACAGACTCATGACGTGGATGCAGACGATCCCATTTATGAGCAATGTTCCCTCTAAGCTGTGGAGTCTCGTGAGCAAAAATTCTACTTTGTGAGCTACTGGCATTAAAGTTGTGAGCGAGCCATTTGGCTCCTGCATTAATTAGTTTGCTCTGGAGCCCTCCTTCCTGAGCTGAGACAAAAATGTGTGAGCCGGAGGATACAAAACTGTGAGCTGGCTCGCTCTAACTCAGCTTAGAGGGAACACTGTTTATGAGCCCCGAAGGACACATTTCCCTGTTGTTTCTGAGATAACAGAAACAGATCACATCATAGTAAGAGTTGGCCCGTAGCTACAGTGGGGCTACCGGGGGATCCGGCCCCTTCCTTAAAGGTCTAGCCCCACAAGATTTTTTTTGAGAATTTTTTTAGAAGAACCGGGAAGAGGCTGCACACAGCCCCCCCTTCTCAAAAGCATTTAGAGGGATCCTTTAAATGCTTTTGAGAAGAAAAGGGGAATGGCACACACCTCTCTCCTTCCCTCCTGCAAGATATCAAGGGCCCTCCAGCTGATTAAGGAGCTGCGGTGGCTCAAGTGGTTAAGACACTGAACTGCAGGCTGTGGAAGGTCGGTAGTTCAGCAGTTCGAGACCCGAGTGTGTGCCGCATGACGGAGTGAGCTCCCGTCTCTAGTTCCAGCTCCTGCCAACCTAGCAGTTTGAAAGCAAGACATTGCAAGCAGATAAATAGGGACCACTTCGGTGGGAAGGTAACAGCGTTCTGTGCGCCTTGGTGTTTAGTCATGCCGGCCGGCCACATGACCACGGAAACGTCTTCGGACAGCGCTGGCTCTTCGGCTTTGAAACGGAGATGAGCACCGCAACCCTAGAGTCGGACTCGACTGGCTTTCGAGCAAGGGAGCCTTTACCTTTACTTTACACACCTCTCTCCCTCCCTCCTGCAAGATTTAAAGGGCCCTCCAGCTGATTGGCGGGCCACGTGCTCCCCACTGAACAGCTGAAGGGCCCTTGCAGGAGGGGAGGGAGAGGGGTGGCTGCCGGCAGTCTGGCTCGGGGGTGGATTGGAGCTGACACAGAAATAATGGCAGCTCCCCCCCACCAAAAAAAAAAAATGTTTTTTGCCCCACAAGCCACAAAGTCCTGGCTACAGGATAAGAGGCTCGTACCCCAGACCAAGATCCACTCAACCTTCTGGGCCCCTATAAACTATACCCATTTCCTCTCCACGGCTGGGCTCCAAACCTAACCCGCTCATTCCCATTAAAAAGGTAAAGGTTCCCTTGCTCGAAAGCCAGTCGAGTCCGACTCTAGGGTTGCGGTGCTCATCTCCGTTTCCAAGCCGAAGAGCCAGCGCTGTCCAAAGACGTTTCCGTGGTCATGTGGCCGGCATGACTAAACACCAAGGCGCACGGAACGCTGTTCCCTTCCCACTGAAGTGGTACCTATTTATCTACTTGCAATTTCTTGCTTTCGAACTGCTAGGTTGGCAGGAGCTGGAACTAGAGACGGGAGCTCACTCCGTCATGCGGCATACTCGGGTCTCGAACTGCTGAACTACCGACCTTCCACAGCCTGCAGTTCAGCGTCTTAACCACTTGAGCCACCGCAGCTCCTCATTCCCATTACCCCACAGAATATCCAGGCACAGGCAAATTGACACATGGGTAGCCATGCTGGAATCAGGCCAAAGGTCCCATCCAGTCCAGCGTCCCATTTCCAACAGGGGACAGTGACAGGGAAGCCCGCAGGCCACACCCACAAGCCAGCAACTGTGGCTGCATCTTATGGCCATGGAGTTCCACAAGCCGA